AGCTGATGGCGGGGGCAGAGCTGTGGATAGTGTCCATGGATTTCTTGCTGGAGTTCCCACGACCGCTGCAACCCAACGTGATTCTCACAGCGCACTCGTCCGTTGGCCTGCACGGCGATCAGGAGGTGAGTGTATTTTGCTGTGCAAACGAACTCTCCGCTGTAAGAGCAAAACAGTAGATGGTCGGTGATCTTTCGACCAATCACAGCCGCGATTTATGTTCGACAAGTCCGACATTCGTGCACGTGAGACGGTTTAGTGCACCTGTTTTTTTTTTTTAATTCTATGGTTCTCATTTCCGACCGACTGTATTTTTTGGCCTCAGACCTATAAAAGCAACCTTTTTTCTACTGACTAAAAAGGAACCTGCCCCCGAAACGTCAGTTGCGATTTAATACCTGTACAAAACAGAGCTGAAAATGGACATGAGCCATTATAATTCAGCCCAAACATCAAAGTACGACAGCCGAAATTCACGGTATATTATCAATACCACATCACAACGAGCGTGCAGCATGAACGCAGTTTCATGTACATGTTGTACACACAGCATACATGTACACTGCACGCACGAACACGACGTTTGGACACTGACTCGAACAAGCTGAGTTACACTGTTGACAGCAGCATATGGTATCCGCGGCATTCTTTCACATTTGACTTGCTAAAGTCAAGCAGATTTTTCTTGCTACCGATATGAGCGTTCGTTTAGCCATCACGTGATCTTCGTGCCTGCTCTGGTGTGAGCCACCACTACCCAAGCTGGCGAGCGGGAGTGTGGAGGGTGCCCGAGTGTAATGACGTCACGGATGAACTGTTCATGCATGGACATGATGGAACGTGGCGGCGAATACACTGCAGCGTTCGATTCGCCTCATTTCGAGGCTTCCCTTGGTGTAACACTGGTGTGTTCAGGGAAGCTAATCGAATGCACCCATTGTAGTATTTTGTGACTTGCCAAAATGCAGGCGCGGGTCAAGGTTAAGAAGGCGCGTGTGAGTGCGGCGCTTCTGCAGGTATGGCGTCTCTTCGAATTACTCTCCACACTCTGCCTCTTGGTGTCGTCTTGTGAACCAGGACACTGGTCTCTCATTCGTTTAATGTCATTCGGTATCAGACTGAAAGTTCCTCTACATTGTAGAATGGAACATTCACTCTATTACCTCACAAAATTAAGCGTACTTATCGCTGCAGCCACAAACATTCATTCTTGCTCATTGACAGCGACATTTCGCATTGTTATTTGGTCTTGTTTCCGAAGATACCGGAGGATCAATTGGCGTTTATTAATGACGCGAACGACGCCGGCGTGGTCCTGTTCTCTCTCGGTACCCACGTGAATAAGATGGAGGTGACACGTGCTGAGATGCTCGCGCGGAGCCTGGCCAAGCTACCTCAGCGAGTGGTATGGCATTTCCCTGGTGACACGTCGAAGCTTCCCCTAGGCAACAACACCAAGGTTGTGCAGTGGATGCCAATGCAGACGATAATGGGTCGGTGTATTAACTTTTACCCTTCCCCGTTGGTGGCGGTCGCTGTTTTGCTGTCCCTATGTGCCATGCCCTGCCATTGACCCTTCTCTTGGTTGATGTACACCACTGTCCTACTCAAGTTACAATAGGAGCGTTTACTGAGGGGTTTTGCACTAGTCTTGGTGCAAGATAATGGTGATCAATGTTGTCTGTGATCATTGATCGATCTCCAAAGTCTTTATAATGGAGATCAATGTCTGTGATACACACACATTCTGAATGATTGCAAGAGAGCGTTACGTACATGTTCACAAACCTGACTTGTACATGACCCGCCCCGCAAAAAGAATTTGCCCGAGCTCAGAGCCTCGACTCCATGGGCTGCATGCGCGTTCCTTCACTAACCCCTGATCGTGTGAAGCTGAAAAGCATTCAGAATGAATACACATAAACGCAATCTAAGTCAATCGCACGCGTATTTCAAAAGCTACACGCTCGCGCCGCTGTATTCTCCTGCAGGTCATGCACGCGTAAATCTGCGTTGTGCGTAAACATACTGACTAAAGACCTAATTTAAATATCACAAATAATATTAAGATATTCAAATTACGAAATACCAGGGGTTAGATCGAGCAAGGCAAGGTGGGAACCAACATGGCGCGGCAAGGTCGTACCCATGGGAACGAGGTTGGCCATACCAAATGGTGGTATTTCTGCGCGCGAGCTCATTATTATTTGGTGATCCCAAGGGGTTTTTACAACAAGACATTCCATAATCAGGAGATATTATACAAAATATGAATACAAAATATTGTGGCGGTCTCCGCTTCTTCTGAGTCTGCCACCCGGTCGGGCCAGCCCACGTCAGCGAGCTTTAGAAGGCCGGTGACGCCGATCCGTTTTGGCAGCAGTTTACCGCCTGGCCCGCAGCACAGCACTTCGCGGCAATCACACCCAAGCGCCAGTTTCGGCCTCGACGAACGGGGACAATAAGAACTGGGCAGACACAGCTCATACAGGGCCACACTTCTTCTTTATTCCCAACGGCAAGCGCCTTTGAAGCGCTTCGCCTAAGTTACAGCTATACCGTTCTCCGGCACAACAACGTTAAGAATTTACAACGAATGTGAATTACTGATTCTTTTAGAATTTGAAATGGACAATCATTAAAATTGACTAATGTGAGTGTGACAATGTGATTAGCAGTCAGTAAGGGAAACTAGGCTATGCCTCGATTATTTGCACTACTGTATGTCCAACTCACACTTCACGAGTACCGTGCTTGTTTCCCGCGCAGTTGGCGAAATAACGTGCGGCAACGCGTTAAGTGCGAATTGCGCGAATCGTGCGAATTACACATGCTCCCAAAATACCTTCCGTTTTTACTCTTTGGTACTGATATCTCTTCTTTTCAAATGTTGCAACCGCAATGTTTCGAATCGGCATGGGCCAGATTAAGTAAACATTGACAATCGAAAAACGGCTTAATAGAATTTTATAGCTGGAATTTCCTATCCGCATAAATTGCCTATCCGCTCCGAGCGAATCGAAAGAAGGCATGGTCTTTTGGCACTCATCGCAAAGGTGCGCCAGGAGGCGCGCAAGTATGCACGTTGGACGGGGAGCTCGCTGAGTACGCGTAACTAATTTACTCCGGCATTTATTGGTTTTTTGCTTACCGTACGCAGAACGTGTGCAAGTTGTAACCACCTGTCTTTCTTTTCGCAGATTGATGGTGCACTGCAGCTAGCTCGGGTGGATACCGAGGGGTGAATTTGCTCACGCTTTTGGATTCAGTCGGGTGCCGTCTCGGCTATGGTTCCACGCCGTCAACCTCGTTCCCATAGGGACGATCTTGCCGTGCCATGTTGGTTCCCACCATGCCTTGCGCGATCCAACCCCTGGCATTGTGTAATTTAAATATCCTATTTTTTGGGATATTTAAATTAGGACTTTATACGAGCGACGTAGATTTACACGTGCGTGACATGCGAGAGAGTACGAGGTCGCACCTTTTGAAATATGCACGCGACTGACTTTACATTCATGTATATTCATCCTGAATCCGGTTCATAAGTGTGACGTCACTTCAGTTTTAAATCACGCCCACTGCACATGCACTGCAGATAGACTTATGTGCACTGATCGCCGTTTACGTGTATATATTATGTCTATGGTACTCATTCGTGCAAGAAACTGCTTGGAAAACTTACTACCATCTGTCTTTCTTTTGCCGCGGGGGGGGGGGTGCACGTCAATTCGGGACGGATAGCGATAGCTCACTTCCTGCTATTTATTTTTACAGCCGTCAAAATGTTATTTTCACAATAGCCCACCCTAACGTGAAGGCGGTGTTGTGCCATGGTGGCTCGGGTATGCTTCACGAGGCGATTTGGTTTGGTCTACCTCTTGTTGGCATCCCGTTGTTTGCCGACCAGTTCGACAACATGAACCGCGCGGTTTGCAAGGGCATAGCTGTCTCGTTGGATCTGTTCGACATGACGGAGGAAAGTCTCTATCATGCAGTCAACCGCGTCATCCACGATCCAAGGTATTTTTTTCCTGTCCTGTTTTGCTTCCTGCGTTAATTGATTGGAACCTGCATCAAAAGCCCTGTTCAGAAACGGGCAGTTTTGAACCTCAGACTGTTTTACTTGTCACATTTCTTGGATATTTCTGTGATTATTTCCTACATTATTTCCTTTTGTTTTCTATTTTTAAACAGCAGATTTTCTAACTGTGTTTTTTCTACTTTAAATTGTTATAAATGTCACGG